CTTCTTGCTAGTTGTTGCTGCAGCTGATGAATCTCTCGCCGCAACTCTTCGATCACTACTTCATGGACTGGACGTTGAGGATTCCGGCGAGGAGGCATCTTGCCCACGCTCTGAGACCAAATGAGGCTGGCGCCACCGGCGCCACTGGACGATTACTAGCGTCGTTCACTCTTCGTCTATTCTTCACCACCTGCACTGTCTGGTCAGGATACAGGAAGAAAACAGAGAAATAGAGAGAACAGAGCTTTTATTAGCAAAGGAGAAGTTCCTTTTACAAACCAAATCTAAAAATCTGTCTTATTCTACTAAAGAGAAACTATTTATACACATAAGAGAAAAAACGTAAAACAGAGCTAATGGACACACGCAGAGCTACACCGGCAATTGGAAATGCCATAAGGAGGTGCTCCGGTGTTTTAAGTAGACGCTCCGGCGTAACTTTATAATCTTTTTTATTAGAAGAAACTATTTTAATCATTTTTATTAAAAGAAACAACTATAAACAGTGATGAATGCAAGGCTAAATTTAAAAAAAAAAAAGATTAGCTTAAAATTGAATTAATTAAAAATAATAGGAAAAATATTAATTTTTTAGTTAATATATTATTAAATTTGTTTTTTTAATTAATGTATGATTAGAGTTGTTTTTTTGAAAAATGTTGCCTACAACATATTCGAAAAATCAAATAAATTAATTACACATTTGAGAGTCAACACAAGACATTTTCTACAAAGCAAATATAGAGAAATTTTCCTTCATCATCAAAGCTCAAAATAGGAATGGTTTTGGAGGTCTTTATAAAGAATTTCTCTGCTATTCTCACCAATGTTGTTGAGGAAGAGGCAATTATGATTCTCGGTGTGAATGCTCACTGAGATTCAAAACCTATTGCAAAAAATAAGGAGTTTCCAAAGTTTGTTGGGGGATACTGAAAAAAAAAAAGTTTGTTGAGCCATGCATTGGCCTATGGATCTTAGAGCTTAAAGATGTCATGTATGACGCCAAAGACACCATTGACATATGTAAGATTGAGGGCGCAAAGCTGCTTGAAAATTAAAATCATAATTCCAAAACAACTATTATTTGCTACAATTTTTCATATGTTTTCTCCTCTCACCAACATCTCTCCACGTCATAATATAAAAAATAGAATCAAAGAACTTAATGACAGTCTCGATCGTTAATATGAAAATGGAAAACAATTTGAATTAGAAGAATCTTAAAAATAAAAAAATCACTAGAGTTGATATTCATCAAACTTCTTCCTGGGTTGATCCTTTAGTTATTGGACGAGAGGTTAATGTTGTTGCATATAAGTTGGTTAATCTTTTGATCATAAAGAAGGCTAAAGAAAAATCTCTTGTTTTTGCAATTACCGGCATGGAGGGTTTAGGAAAGACAACACTAGCTCAAAAAAATTTTAACAACAACAAAATGGAGAACTATTTCAATGTAAATGCATGGGCTTGTGTTACCCAAACTTACTCACAAATTGACTTGTTGAAGTTAATAATTATTGAAGCTAAGGGAAGCTACATGGATGCTAATACCAAATCAGAGTTAGTCCATTCTTAGGGGTTTGGTTGTTCATGTCAGAGCCTTTTTCTTGTTCTAGATTATGTGTGGATGACGAATGTGTTGATTGATTGCCTTCAAGTTCCGTTGGACTATGTTAACATGAGTGTTAGAGTCTTAGTCACAACAAGATATGAAAATGTTACAAAAGATATGAATGCTGCACACACTCATCCACTGAAGAAACTCTATATAGAGATTAGCTGGGATATGCTTTGTAGGCTACTTTTCTCAAATGGAGAAGAGAAGCTATAGCATATGAGTTGAAGGATCTAGGATTTATGATATTGGAAATATGTGTAGGCCATCCTCTTACAATAAAATTTGTGGCTCGTGCACTTCGCAAAAAAGGATTTACTAGTAAAACATGGGGAAATAATAATAATAGTCCCGTAGGTAACTAAACATAAAACAAAAAAACATAAATTAAAAAAAAAAACAAAGGAAACTTCTGTTGTGTCCACTGCTAGGAAATTCTCCACTGCTAGACCCTTTCTCTCGTTGTTCCTTGCCCATCTCCATTCCAACTATCTTCCTTCAAATTTTCGAGTTTCCACTCTCCTTCAGCAAGCTCAACATGGCGATGATCTTTGATGAGCAATTTCTCTACTTTGCTCGTTGATTTTGTCCCGGAAGTGATCATGCTGGTAGGTGTGAAGGACGAGCTTCAAACGCTACGTCGTCAGATGATTAGAATCCAAATCCTACTTAATGATGCTGAAAATAAAAAGTTTAATGAGTCATCATCCATCGAACTCTAGCTTTCTCAACTTAAGGATGTGATGTACGATGCCGTAGATATCATTGACCTCTGCAGAATTGAGGGCACTCAGCTGCTCGTCGATCAAAATCCTAAATCTAGAACTTCTTCGGTACGTTGCAGTTTCTCATCTGCCTTCTTCGATTTCACTAGCCTTCCTCTGCGTTGTGAGATTGGAAACATAATTAAAGAAATTAATGAAAGACTCAAGCATATATATGAAGATAAAGAACGTTTTAAAATAGAGAAATCCACAACATCGGAAACCTCACAAATTACTCAACTTGATTCTCGTCAAACTTCTTCCATAAATGATCCTTTTGTTGTGGGAAGAGAGGCCGGGTTGCTAAGGTGAGCTGCTGGTATTCTAATACTAAATCAATGCTGCAAACCGTTCTTATAGTGATTCTACTGCTTTGGTTTAAAGACTTTTTCTTGTTTTAGATCATGTTTGGAGGGCGGATGTGTGGGTTGATTTGTTTAGAATCCCATTTTACAACTCTAATGGGAGTGTAAATTCATCCTGTGACGTATCTTTCTTAAGAGAGCCGTTGGGATATATTTCATAGGAGGCTTTTCTTAGAGGAGCAAGAGGAGCTAGCAAATGGTTTGAAGAATGCTTCAACGAGTTACTCAATCGAAATCTTTTGCTAACAAAAGGTTCGTGGGGTAAAAAGGACTTAATTTTCAGATGGTTAAAACTCTTTGAGCCAAAGTTGTCTTCCCTGTCCCACCCATGACAGGAATCGCAAAAAGAAGGCATTTTTCATCAACCTTCTCCCCAAGAATACGATCAACTAAACTGTTAGCTGCAACCTCGATATCTCTTCCCATAACAAAGCATCAACGCTTAACACATTTGACTCATGCATTTGACTCATGATATTTTACGTTATTCACCTGTGAATCTATAGGATTAGATTCCCGGGACACAATATTCTGCAAACTGATTACTGCAAGCCGAGACGGCTACAATGGGGTCAATTGAATTGTGAGGATTTCCCGGTGAACACTGCCTACCCCTTATCTCTGCTTTGAAGAAACCGCATCCAGCAAGTAACTTAAAGGACAAACATTGGATCCATTGACAGAAGTAGGATGTTGATTGGTGCAGTCTTCAACCTGTAAAACAGAGAATAGCCACAAGAAGAGAAAGCAATGGAACAGTAACCGGAGAGGTGTTCCCGGAAACTTTGTATTAAGCCAAAATAAACTATTCTGTGTCTTTCTCTTTTCTTCTTCCTATCTATATCTCATCCTAATGCTTAACAGAAATAGGGAAACAGGGAATACTGCTAGAAAACACGGCTAAACAGAAAAAGTAATAAAACGGTTATAAAAAGGTAGTGGGGAATTAAGCTATAGCTCAGATATATGCAGGCATATTTCCACGTGGTTCCATGGTGTAGCCCATATCAGGTGGTGTAGCCCGCTGCAGGATGTAGCCCGCATCAGGACTCCCCTTCTTCAGAGGAGCTCATCTCCGATGAGACCGACGTCAGTTGCTGTGAATCTGGTGGATGATAAGGATAGATATCTGCAACATTGAAGGTAGGAGAAGTTTGGATATCCTTGGGGAGATCAATAATGTAAGCATTGTCATTTATCTTCCTGAGAACCGGAAATGGACCGAATTTCTTTGGGTTTAATTTGGGACAAGGACCCGAAGGAAATCGATCTCTGCGATATCGTAGCATGACCAAATCACCTGGCATAAATTCAACATGCCTACGGTGTAAGTCTTTAGCAGATTTGTACTTGGCATTAGTTTCAGTGAGCTTGTCTTGCACAGTTTTAATAACATCAGAAAACTGTGCTGCAGTTTGAGAAGCAGCGGTACTCTTACACTTTGGAAGGATTGCTAAGTCCACAAGGTGATTTGGCATTTTAGTGTAGACAATGCTGAATGGACACCTTCCCGTGGACCGATTCGGCATGGAATTAAAAGCAAATTCCGCTTGGCCTAAGACTTCCTCCCAATGTTTCGGATTATCTTGAACTAGGCATCGCAGCATAGTAGCTAACGTGCGATTGACGACTTCCGTCTGTCTGTCTGTCTGAGGATGATAGGTGGAGCTAAGTTTTAAGTCAGTATGAAACCTCTTCCACAGTTCACGCCAAAAGTGGCTGATAAACTTAACATCGCGATCGGACGTTAAGCTGCGGGGTATGCCATGCAAACGGACAATTTCTTTAAGGAAAATTTTAGCAATATTGAGGGCATCGAAAGTTTTCTTACAGGGAATGAAGTGTGCCATTTTTTCAGAATCTATCCACAACTACCATTATTGAATATGACCCTCTCTTCGTTCGTGGTAGTCCGAGCACAAAGTCAAGACTCAGATCTTCCCAAATAGAGTCTGGCACCGGCAATGGCATATACAATCATGTATTCTGAGCAGCCCCCTTATACGTTTGACAGATAGCACATCTCTCGATCAGTCGAGACACATCTCGTTTCAGGTGTGGCCAGAAAAATTGAATTTGGAGTTGCTGAATTGTCTTATCTCTGCCCACGTGTGCCGCCAGCCCGTTACAATGTATTTCCTTGATAAGTTGATGCCGCCATGACGATGCTGGGATACACAATTGGTTTCCTTTGAAAAGAAAACCGTGTCTGAGGGAATAATCACCCGCCGGTGTTCCTGCATGACAATCCTTCAACTATGCAGCGAAATCTTCATCCGCGTCATATAAATTTTTCATCTCTTCTAACCCGGTGACTTCTGTTTGTAACTGGACGAGTAATGCTGCTCTCCTGCTGAGGGCATCAGCCACCCTGTTCATTTTTCCTATTTTGTGCCGAATCACAAAACTGAACCTCTGTAGAAAGATTACCCAACGGGCATGCATTTTACTAATAGTTTTCTGGCTGTTAAGGAATTGAAGGGAGTGATGATCGCTGCACAATACGAAATCTTGATGAAGCAGATAATGTTCCCACTGTTTCAATGCTCTCACGACGGCGTACAGCTCCTGCTCGTACACAGTCCATTTTTGTCGAGAAGGGCTCAGCTTCTCGCTGAAGTATTCAATTGGCCGTTCCTCTTGGTATAACACCGCTCCAATTCCTATACCTGAAGCGTCGGTATCAACTTGAAATGGCTTTTCAAAGTTGGGTAGGGATAAAACAGGAGCCGAGCTCAAGGCATCCTTAATATTTTCAAAACTTCTTTGTTATTTATCTGACCACGTGAATGAGTGACCCTTTAAAACATCTGTGATGGGTGTCATAATGACACTAAATCCCCGAATGAATCGTCTATAAAAATTTGCTAATCCGTGAAAACTGCGGATGTCAGGTATTGAACGGGGAACAGGCCAGTCTTGGACAGCCACGACCTTGCATGGGTCTACTTGAACTCCTTCCCGTGAAACAACAAAGCCCAGGAACCGCACATTCATTGTGGAAAACTCACACTTGGGTAAGTTCAAATATAACTTGTTTCTTCTTAGAACTTATAATAATTGCGTCAAGTGTAAAACATGTTCTTCAAGTGAAGAGTTGTATACTAGGATATCGTCAAAATAGGAAACGCAAAATTTACATGTAAAAGGTTGTAGCAGTTCACTCATGAGCCTCATGAAGGTAGATGGTGCATTGCATAGACCAAACGCCATGACTTTCCACTCGTACAGTCCTTCCCGCATCTTAAACGCCGTCTTCCACTCGTCGCTTGGTCTGACGCGAACTTGATGGAAGCCGCTTCGCAAGTCAAGCTTAGAAAAGATAGTCGCACCCTGAAGTTTATCCAGCAGGTCGGACACTCTCGGGACAGGGAACCTATATTTTGTTGTAATCTTATTGATAGCTCTACTATCAATACACATCCGCCATTTCCCATCTTTCTTCGGAACGAGGAGTGCAGGCACCGCGCAGGGGCTAAGGCTATTTTGAATGAGATGTCGTTTGAGTAAATCTTCTACAATCTCCTGTAAAATCAAGTGCTCCTTTGGACTCATCCGATAATAAGGTAAATTGGGCAATGTCGCTCCCGGCACGAGATCAATTTGATGTTGAATGCTGTGGAGAGGAGGTAGCTCGGTAGGCAGCTCAGTTGGTCCAATGTCCGCGAAGTCAGCCAACAACTGTTTTACTGATTCTTGAATGGTTGGTTTAATTATTGGAGGAGAAGTATCCGTCGTGACCAAGGCTAACAGCGGAGTGTTATTGTTGGCTTCCTGCAATAAAAGATGTCCCGAGATGATGTAGGCAGCCGCAGGTTCAGGGATAGATTTCCCACTGACAGCAGAATTTTGTGGTAGTAAACGTAATTTTCTTCCTTTCCATTCAAATGAGTATATGTTGGCTCAACAGTCGTAAGTGGCTTGAGCGTCAAATTTCCATGGCCGGCCTAATATAAGATGGCACACGTCCATTTCTAGGACATCGCATGTCACTTCGCACAGATAGTGCTTACCAATGGAAAAAGTTACCCGGCATGCTTCAACAATTGTTATCTCTACACCACGCTTTACCCAGCTGATCTTGTAAGGCTGCGACTTCTTCGTGGTCTTTAGTTGTAACGCATGCACAACGGACCGAGAGATGACATTCTCGGTACATCCACTATCAATGAGGAGCTCACAAACCTTTCCCTGTATGGTGCATTTTGTTCTAAACTGAGCATTTCTTTGGGATTGTTGTGCCTGTCTCGGTGCCAACAAGAGCTTTTCCAGAATGCATAAGACAGGCTCCCCCCTCGTCTCCCTTCAGATCTTCCGTGGAATCCCCTTCCTCCAAGTGTTCTTCATGGTCCATTCCTTCCTCTGTTGGGGTGCCATCGAGTATTTGAAGTTGATGTCGTTTTGGACACTCGTTGGATTTATGACCGGGCTGAAAACATCTAAAGCACTTCAATGTTGTAGGCCTGCTATAGGGATTCTCTTTCAATGGGGCCTTCATTTTTGCAGGATATTTGTTTTCAACAGGATTCTGACTGGACGACGGCAATGTATTGGACTGCAACTTAGCCTGCGGTGTGTTGTTCTTCGAAAATTCTGCACTGTTTTCAGGTTGTGATTGGCGGCGATGTGAATAACTTTTTGCTTGTCGCTGCATTTGGGACTCAGCTTTCAATGCAAAATTAACGGCCTGAGACAATGACCATACGGAATTTAGTTCTAACTTGTCTTGGATGGGATCTTTAAGGCCTCCAATATACCGAGCTACAAGTTGATTTTCAGATTCATGGAGATTATTACGAGCACTTAACCGATAGAATTCTTCGGTGTAATCATTCACGCTCCTTGCCCCTTGGGTACAATGCTGATATTTAAGGTATAACATCTGCTCGTAGTCGGTCGGTAGGAAGTGTCCCCTCAATAACTGTTTCATGCGAAACCAACTCCGCACGGCTCCGCGACCATCTCGCCTTCGTGCCTGAAGAAGTTGATGCCACCAAGCGCTTGCCCCTCCTTTCAACCGACACGCTACATACTTAACTTGTTTCTCAGGATGAATCTCCATGTATTCAAAAAAGGTTTCCACCGCCCGTTCCCAATCAAGATAGTCTTCGATATGAAGGCGTCCCTCAAAATAAGGTATGTCTATTTTTACCTTGAATTCTCCATGCTCTCGGTGAGGAGGTCCTCCACGTCGCCTCGGAATGACATAGTATGGGGTTTTCCAGTCGTCTTCGGTCTCTGATAATTCCAGCGGTACTCGAGTATTAACTTCAACTTCTGAATCTGAATACTCTGCATTGTGGGGTTGAGTCCTTCTCCGAACTCGTTCAGGAACTGGAAGGTGTGGGGGTGCCTGGATCGGAACTCGACCAGGAGCTATTGCTTCCACAGATGTCCGGAGAGCCGCCATCTCTGTCCTCATCTCCACGAAGAGGCGTAGAAAGTCGGCTCTCAATTCTTCAAGGTGTCGCGTGAAACTGGCTTGAGCAGTTCGCACGGCCTCTAAACCACGCTCATCGTCGGTGGTTCTCCGAGAGCTTCCGTCAGCCATCTTGTCCAGGACTGGCTCTGATACCAATTCTGGTGCAGTCTTCAACCTGCAAAACAGAGAATAGCCACAAGAAGAGAAAGCAATGGAACAGTAACCGGAGAGGTGTTCCCAGAAACTTTGTATTAAGCCAAAATAAACTATTCTGTGTCTTTCTCTTTTCTTCTTCCTATCTATATCTCATCCTAATGCTTAACAGTAATAGGGAAACAGGGAATACTGCTAGAAAGCACGGCTAAACAGAAAAAGTAATAAAACGGTTATAAAAAGGTAGTGGGGAATTAAGCTATAGCTCAGATATATGCAGGCATATTTCCACGTGGTTCCATGGTGTAGCCCATATCAGGTGGTGTAGCCCGCTGCAGGATGTAGCCCGCATCATTGATGAGATACACGAGCAGCAACTTTGCTTCTGTACTTCCATTCTACAGCTTCCTGAGAGAGGAAAAAATAATCAGCGATAATTACATTGTAAAAAACTATAAAGTATTCAAAAAATTTCAGGTTCCTCAAATCTGCAGAGGTCAATGGTATCTTCGGCATCTTACATCACATCCTTAAGCTCAGAAAGCCAGAGTTCGGTGAATGATGACTCATTAAACTTTTTTCTTTTCTTCATCATTAAGAAGGCTTTGGATTCTCCTCATCAGACGACGTAGCGTTTGAAGCTCATTCTTCACCCATAGCAGCAAGATCACCTCTTCCAGGACAAAATCAGCGAGCACAGTAGAGAAATTGCTGAAGGAGAATAGTAGCCTGCAGGATGTTAATGGAAGCTGGTAAAGTTGAGGAAGATAGAGGGAGAAGCAAGGAAAATAGAAAATCAACGCCATCACAAGTTTTTGGCAGGGACTCTTGGATCGAAAATAGGCTGCTGGACCAAGAATTAAAGCGTTTCGACGTCTGGCATCAGTTTGCGCAGAGGAAGTTTTTATTTTTATTTTTATTTTTTATTTCTTTGACTGACTTAAAATTTATTCACATCCAGAGCAAATACCGAGTTGTACCGAGTTGTAGAAAAACTCGGTACAACTCGGTATTTGTATATTTTTGGTGTTCACAGAGCGGTATTTCTCATTTTTGCAAAGCAATACCGAGCAAATACCGAGCAATACCGAGAAAATCGCGAACATAGCATTCCCGGGTTCTGCTTCGGGTCAAGTCGTCGGGCCGCGCGGTAAAGAGTAAAAGCACGTGGCGACATGTTATTGGCGGCCGAACGTACCTCTACGTTAAGTCAGAGGACGTAATAATTGTTCTAATTTCGGTAGTAATGGGGTGGCTTTAGTTTCACAATCGAAATCTTTTGATATCTTTTGCCGTCATCCAAAATATCTTTTGGCAGCAAAAGATTTCGATTGAGTTTATATTTATATATCATCATTTGTATAATTTAACTCATCTTCTTTTTTTAATATTGTATTTATACTTGTTAATTTAATTAATTTAACTTGTAATAGTTTTTTTTTTCTGTCACCTAGCTCAAATTGTTTATTTTATTTTAGCTGTGCCTCGTTCAAATTTTTCATCGATAAATCTTATGCAAATAAAACACAATATTTTTTATTTGAAGTTTATTATAAAGTGCTGAATTTTAACTTTATAATTATTCAAATTTATTCTCTTAACTTCTTATGGATATATCAAAAATATTGACGGTTGGATGCAACTATGTAAATATTCGGTGACTTCGCCCATATAATTAGATGAAAATATTTATATGAATGAAAGTACAATCTTCAAATATTATAATGAATTCTGAATATTTAATACTTAAACTATATAAAAAAGATAAAATTTTAACTCATGCGTCACCAAAAATTATCTTTAATTGATAAAAATCTTGATGCAAATTTGAATTAGAAACTTTCAAAATTAAAATCGGAACCATTTGATCTCAAACTTCATCGAACTTATAGTCAAATTGAATATCTCAAGAAGACGAACCCAACAAGATCAAATTTGATACAATCCGAGCCCAAATGAGTCCCCATTCAGATAGAGAGTATGATACTTATAGATTTTACAAATAGCATATCCCATAAATATAAACAAAATATGAAACACTCCATTAAATAGCTCATTTTAATTCCCTCAATAAAAAATATCCTATCAACATTTAAGAACCATAATCATATCAATAATTAGACAATCTTGGTCTCCTTACCTTCATTTCTCAAAATATTCAATTTGATTATATGCACGAAAGATTGAAGAATATTTGGTCATTCAACTAAAATCTCGAATAATACAATTGTGTTTCAGATGCTTGATTTAGAGTCATTTGGACTCGAATAATCGGATTATTTTTTATGTCAATGAGTTCATCTTGCCTCGTCGTTCAATTTAATTACAAGTTTGAAAAAAATATGTGTGAGCAGTCCTGTATTTAATTTTGAAATTTTTCTCTTTCCAATAAGCATCAATATTCGTATTCATTTTAAGTGACTTTTGATGGCATATCAAGCATCAAAACTGGCAATAAATAGATCAACATCACATAAACGAATAACAAAGCTCAAAAGAAAACTATAATGGAGAAGTTGGGACCAGTTACAACTTAAGAAAATAGAGCAAGTAAATAAAAAAATGGACTCAAAATAGGCCAAAAAAACATCAAAACCACCAGCCTAAAAGAAGTCAGGAAACAAATAGAACTCCCCGGCCTTTTATGTTACTACATAACTTTTATTTTATTTTTTTCTCTCGAGAAAGTGATAGACCTAGCTTAAAAGTAGAAAGTAATAATACTCATGTGAGATCTTCACAAATTCAGAATCCTAAGAACTTCTAGCTGATCCTCATATAATTTCTTCCATAGATGATCCTTTAATTAAGCCTTTTAGTTTTTTGTATTCCTTGTGGTATGAAACGGAAAGGTTTTTCAAAAAGATCAAGATGCACTAGTTTTCCTTACTGTGTAAGAAGACCTTATTCATTTCGGTGGAAGATTTTGATGCATAATGTATTTCATATCAGCACTTTCCTTATTGACAAATACTATGTCGCTCTCATGGTGAATTATTATGTCCGGCGTCCGAACCGTCTGGAAGCAAATCCAGACACGTCACCCGGACCCACCCGGATGCACCGGGGCCTGGGTGACGTGGCGCGTCCGGATTTGCCTCCGAACAAGGCAAATCCGGACGTTGGACGTAATAATTTTCACGCTCTCATGGATAGTTCATCTACCCTATTTGGTTTATACATGCAAATTTGTTACTGAAATATTACCAAAAAAAGTTTAAATTGGGAGACTGTAAGAATATTGCAATCAACATTTTTGGGCGGTTTTTTTTTGGTTGAACTTGCTACCTTATGTTGATGCTTGCATTGATGCTTATAGAACTAGATTTGAACATTGGATTAACTTTCTATTAAAAAATGATTTTTTTTTTTTTCTTTTTCTAGAATTCTTGTTTCTCCTTTCTTTAGGTTTGGGATGTAATAATAGCCGATTCAAAGTTGCTTGTATTTCTGAAATAATATCACAGTACTGTACGCATACCATGAAGTTGTTTTCAAAAGCAAAAAAATTTACCTTAAGTTGAGAGCTGATAAGGGGATTTGATGAAATTCGAGTGTTAGAAGAGGAGAAAGAATATGAGCTTGAAATTGATATGAATTTAGACAAATTCTTTATTATTAAATTTAGAAATACAAAAATGATTAAAATAAGAGCTCTGAATTATGGAGCTTGAACTATATAAAATTGGCACATGAGTCGGCTTAACTTACTTACACCCCTAATGAGTGTATTTTAATTAGACTCTTTTGTTGGGGTGAAATGAGGGGCGCTTTATTAGAAAGCATAAATGATTAACTATCATAATCTGTAATTAGTTTTATTAAGACTACCGTACTATACTTTCTTTAATGCATAACATGTATTTACTTCTTTACCAATAGACCCAAGTTCTATTTATATGTTGTCCTGTATTCAGACAAGGTAAGTAATAATATTCATTCTTTGCTTCTATCATGTTCTGCTTTCCTCACGCCTGCTCTGATACCATGATGAAATTCTTGAGTCTTCAATTGCGTTCTTGAGGAAGATCAAGATCAATGACGAAGAGAGAAGAAGATCGAGATGTGATAGAGAAAGGGAAAGAGTTGCTTCATAAATTGCTCATATATAAAAAGACTTAACACAAAATAGTAATAGAAATTTAATATTATCAACAAAGAGTTGCTCCATAAATCCTTTTTGTAATTGTATTAATTGTTGTATTCTAAAATGATGAGGAGCATTTACAATATCTAAGAGCAAAGTCAAATTTCGTTCATGAAAATACGCTATGGAAAATTTTCTAAATCTGAATTTTGATTTCAAAAGAAGATATCTTTAATTTTGTTTGACAAATTATTAGTGAAGCTGAAATTTATGTGGATCCTTACAAAGATCAAGGCAATATTGGATTGGCTATGGTTGAACACAAAACTTTAAAGCAGCTCTCAGAATTAAAATGATAATTTCTATAATTACATTGATTTTCTTAACTTCGTTCATGTAATATTAACATTTCCTTTTATTTCGTTAATTTATTTTTCTTTAGTATTATCTAAGTACATATTAGCCATCAAATGGAAAGCCAACCGATCACAATCTGAACCACTGCTGCGAGCTTTGACATAAGCAGACGCATAAGATTTGCAAGAAAGAATTTGTCATCTCATAATCCCATTAAATACCATGGTCTTCCAATCTTTACTAGGAAACTGCATACTTCTGATTTTCAGCCTTTAATGCAAAAGCTGCATTGCTCCTTGGATGGTTGGAAAGCGAAAACTCTCTCTTAGGTTGGGAGAATTCAATATTTAAAATTCACTATATGCAACTCTATGACCAACTAGATTAGAGGCGTTATCATACCTAAGGCTCGTAAAATCATTAACAAGATCTGCTCTATGTTTGTGGAAGATCATATATATATATATTTGAATCTTTTATGTTATGAATTTTATTATACTCTCTCATGTCATTTATTATCACTCAATATAATTAAATAAAATATAAATACAGTTAAGCTATTAAAAATTTCACAAATATAAATATAATAAAAAAATCAATAAAAATTCACAGGTATATACAAAATCATGACAATATTAGATTTCATTTAGGACAGATTTCTTAATGTTTTATGAAACAATTTTAAGTACAAAATTTTAAAAGCTTCATAAAGTAGTAAGAAAACCCTTCAAATGAAAGCCTTAGTAAAAAATCTTTCTTACTACTTTTTAAAATAGCTTTTTAGTACAAAAATTAAATTTTTTGCAATTAAAAGCTGTTTTAAGAAGCAATAAAAAACTCATCCCGAACGAAACCTTAGTCACATAAAAATGACTTTTGATAAAAAATATAACATAATCAAATTAACACTCCTTTGTTATAAAATACATAAGATAACATAATTTCGTTCGTAGGAAGTCGAATTTAATTCAGATATGATCTAAATTAATCAGGCTTGAATTATGAAATGGAATTGAAATTTGATTTGTATTAAATTTCAATTTAAATTTTGAGCCATTTTGGATGTTGAGTCAATTCTTAGACTTGATATGGAAGTTGTAAATTTGGATAGTTATTAAGGTGGGGGGTATATTGGGAAGGATTGGACATGAAATCATTTCCAAGTCCTCAACAATGGCTATTGATTTTTTGGAGAGGAGAAAGTTTGTGTCTTATTCTTATTTGTATTTAATGGAGTTGGGATATTTAGTTCTGTGGCTCAGATAATTTCATATGAAAGTCAGGTCCCACTTATAGTAAACCCTAACAGGCTATATTTGACCTTTGTCCAAATCTATTTGACCTGGTGCCATAGCTTTCTATTTAAAAATTTTTAAATATATGTATATTATTATAAAAAATATATTTTGTAATATCTTAATACGTAATTTTAAATTTATTTTAATATGATCATATATTTGAAAAATCAATAAAAAAATTCTATTTTTTAAGCAAGTGTGATGTGTGTATATATATATATATATATATAATATCATTAATATTTTTTTTTTGGTATAT